CTTGTAGCTTTCTTTAAAAAAAATACTTTCTTATTGCCACTCTTCTATAAAAGGCCAGATTCTGGAGTGCATGATGCTGTCCATTCAACAGGTTCTTCCATCTCTGGGTCTCTGCAGTCCCTCCAGAGACACCATAGATGCAGGTGGTGAACCAAGTCTGTGCAGATCCACATGGTTGCTATGATCTCTCCTGTGTATTTGATTGAACAGAGCTCTATTGGATGCTCAGAGCCTCAGATATTGTCTCACAGATCAACTTGTTTTAAATCTTTCCAAAGATGTTTTTGTACAGTAAATATGGAAAAAGAGTTTAGACAGAAACTTAAAACTTTTCCCAACAACGCTGCACCTGTGTCAAAAAGATCCACCAAGGCAACTGTTGCAGACCACCACCCTCTTCTCCACTGCCACACAGTGAGAATGTGATCTCCTCCCTGCATCCCCACCAACCATCAATCTTCTCCTGTCTGTAACGTGCAACACTTCAGCACCTCTCATAATGAACAGGCTGGGTTTATGGCTCAGCCCCCCTTTTGTAATGTGCAGCCGTGAGGAGGGGGTGAGACAGAAGGAGAGCGAGGCAGGCAATAAAACAGTTTCCGCCCAGTGAATCACATTCAGACCCTCACACAGGCAAATGGGGGCTGACCCCTGCCAGGCAATGACATAAACACTGACAGACAAAAGACTTGAGCTTCTGGGCAAGTGAGGATCTTAGAGGACACCAAAGCTGCAAAAACAAATCCAAAGACACCTCTGATAGGAATAGAGAGATTGAGTCTCAGGGATGTGAAATGGCAACTTTTTTTTCCATCTTAAAAAAATAGAGAATAGGAAAAATGCACACATTTCCATAAAATTAAAAAGACTATAATGTGAGGTCTGATGCTGAGGAGGAGCAGGTGTAACTGTTGAATGGATACAGAAGCAGCTCTCACAATCCAACTGAGAGAGAAAAGGATTGAACTCTGCTGAGGCGCCACAGATGAAGCAACAATAGACATTTGTCAGGGACGCTGCGAGATGACATCATGCCAGATCAATTAGAGATAAAGAGAATATATTCTAAATTCAAAGACTGAGAACTCTATTAGAACTGCTGTGATTTATGGAGCCTGGGCATAAAGGGTGGACTCAAAGAGCGGCTCCATATGCCCTCCTTTATCAGTAGCAGCACATGTGCGCAGCTCAGAGAGGGCCAAGATTACTTCTAGTCCGGTATATAGATTAGATTAGGCGGCTGGGTCTGCATGAGAGGGTCCCCTCCCCTAGCTCTCCGTGTGTGCCAGTTGTTTTATTTCAGTGGGAGAGGGAGAGCCCACACAAAGCGCGGTGATCACAGTGGAGATCCTGGATGTAACCATGGAAGCGTTTGTCTCCATTCTCAATGGGCTGCCCCGCCATTCATTTAAACTGATTGCGCTGAATCAATATTTAGGCTTTTCAATTTTATTAGCTGCTCTGAGGGGTATTTTTGGCTGAAATTAGCTGTGGCCGAGCACTTTTAATCGTTTTCTTTGAGTCTCGCACAATGCGGCTGTCTTGAAGCTGTCTGGCATAATTGATGAGGAGGATTTCTACTCATTTGTGGCCTTTATTCTCTGCACTATTAATTTACCAGTGGCAAAATCTGATAAAATTACTAGTGATTATATCTAACTTCATTTAGAACTAATTTACTCGTTGTTGTCATGGAAAAAACACAATGAAATCTTTTGTTAGGATTAAAGTAAAGTTTTTTTCTTTCTTTTTTACATAATGCATCACAGTTTAAGGTTCACGACAAGGAGCGTTAGAATAAATCATGGGAACTTACCTGACACCTTTCTTGGTCCTCACCGCCCAAGATAATTAACAATATTTTTACAGCTTTAAAGACATCGATGAGCGCTCCCAAAAATCCTCTGTTCCGCCTTCATCCGCAATCATCCAGCAATTAAAAATTGCATGGTGTCGTTTCTAGATCCCAGAGAGCAGCTTTGCGCTGAAGCGCGTCTGTCATCTAACGGGGCGCTCAGGGGCCAAACTGCGCGCGTTCCCCTCTTTCTTTCCTTTCCAGAGCCGCTTTCCACACCTCACAGCTCCGCACTGACTGCAGCCATGTGGAAGCTCCCACTGGAGGAGATTAGTTTATAGCTTACTTAGAGGCTCAAGCACGTATGTCGGTGAAGTGTAATGAGACGCGATGTTTTAATCCTGTTTGTCTCCAAAGGGTGAATCCAGTGCTGTCCTATACGTTTGCCAACGGCGCCACCGTGAGGAACAAAAAGATAACGCCTCAATTTAAAAAAAAAAGATTTTTGTGACTGAGATCTCATCAGTAAGGAAGAGGATTAGGGCCACTGGAAAAAATAAAATAAAATAAAGTGAACGGATTTTTAAATATTATTTAGTTTAATCTGGAGAATTCTGACTTTAATCTCAGAATTCTGACCTTTTCTCAGAATTTTGACTTTAATCTCAGGTTGGAATAGGCTAGGCTACTGAGAAAAAAAGTCATAGTTCCGAGATTAAATTAAGAATTCTGAGATTAATTTCAGAATTTAAAAAAAGTCCGAATTCTGAGATTAAAGTCAGAATTCTCACTTTAATCTTAGAATTCGGACTTTTTCCCATATTAAACTGAAATAAAATTTAAAAATCAGTTAACTTTTCTAACTAATCTATTGGCCCTAATCCTCTTCAGTACATCAGGATGAATTCAGCCAAATGTTCCTTTTTGTAAAAAAAAAAAAAATCTAAAAATTCATGATTACAGCTTTCCTCAATGAAAAACACACATTAAGAAAATCTGAATAAGAGCTACATAAAAATAATGTAAAACCAATATTTTAGATAGGGAAATAACCAAATTAGACAACTTTTATGAAATACACTCTGTGTATACAACATTTTTTTTTGTTTAGTACATTTTTAATTGCTAAGATAATTATCACTGATGATGTGTGACTTTATTACACCTTTATATTAGCTGCCTGTTGCGTGTCAGAACTGAAGTTTTCCACAATAGTTTATCTAATCTGTCCAGATATACAGTTATATTCTTCATTGTGTATGTGGGAAATATTTGGGAATGGAATGAGAGCTGTTTCCTTCAGCTAAGAACAAAGTGTAATATTTTGATAAGGCTGTAGGCATGGATGTCTCCTCATCTGCAAACGTGAATGATGTGGCAGACTGGAGATGTATAAAATTTCTTTTTAACAGTTAATAAGGGCCAGAGGTGAGCCCAGAGGTGAGCAGCTTTCTTCTGTAAACTAAAACAACATATACAGTACACACACACACATATATATATATATATATATATATATA